CGTTCATGATGTTGTGAACTGAGAAGCCTTCTTTAATTATCTCGCTTAGCTTGCTGACGAAGTCGGAGCGCTTGAAATTGAGATAACCTTGGCGGATGTGATGCCGCAGACGTTTTTGGTGAGAATTTTTCAGCAGCTGAAATACTCCAACATCTAGAGGTTGTGTATGATGTGTTGAATGGGGAGGAAGAATGAAGATCTCGATATCGAAGCGAACACAATAATCCATGAGCTCCAAGGAGGTCTTGCCGGTAAAGCCGTCGATAACGAGGAATCGCCAAATCCGCTCCTTTTCAGGCCGCTCAAAATACGGCTGATGCCAAATGAAGTCAGGCATATCGATATCTCTCATATACTCATCCCAGCCAAACCAGTCAGTAAAAGTGATGCCTCTAGACTGTGCCTTTGCTGTGCATTCGAAGGAATTGCGATTAAAATGACGGATCCAATCCATCGAGATCTCTGCGTTGGAAAAGCCGCTCTCAGAGCGAGCGAATCGAATACCTTCATCCAGAGCGTTAACATCCCAAGATTCCGTTGGCCAAGTCTTAAACACCATTAATGGAGGTATCATGACTAAAGATATGTCAGAATAAGGGCAGAAGTCCAGAGAATACTCACATCCAGCTGCATTCGCGCATCCAAGCATCGTGGTTGATTCTCTGTTGGTGAAAGAAACAACATCGTGTTTGGCGTTGAGCATCTTCTTCACGATAATTACCTCAAGCCTCTCGCGAAGGGCACCAATCCGTATGCCGCATTCATCGGCGTTGAACATCTGTGAGGCCTCGATATCTCGATTTTTAACATCTACACCAAGGTCAGTATAGAATTGCTGAAGATCTTCAATATCTCCAGCTTCAAATCCTGCCCTTTCTCGGTCGAAAGCTCGAACTAACTTCTTCTTCTGCAGCTGCGGATTATCGCGAAGAAACCGCCTGTACCATCCATCGCCGACAGGCCCTGCTGGAGGCGTTCGTGATGCCCTTAAATCATTTGCTGCCTCTTCAATAAGTAGCTGATTACAGGGAAAACCTGCTCTCTCGAGCCAAACGATATACGCGATCACGGCACGCTCCTCAGCCTCATCGAGATTCCTCGGCCGGCCGCGGCTGTTATCACTGAAGTCAGGTTTTCCGTACAGCTTCATTGACTTCAGATGACGACCAACAGCGCTCTTGGAGGCGCTGAATCTATCCGCAGCTTCTCTCACGGTGAGAGGTTTCCCTTCCTTAGTGTTGCGGTGGCGGCGTTGTGAGAGCAAAATCGCACGTGCAGCCGCAACGGCAGGGTTGGGTTGATAAAGATCAGTCATAGTGGCGGTCTAGATGAAAATTCAAATTGAGATACAAGATATGACCGAATGATACTTAGAAATGTCTTTCAAAAGTTGGGTTTTTGGTGGTGAAATCAAGCAAATTCGGACTGAGCGGGGTATTCGGCTGTCCCAGAATTTTGCCCTTGTCCCAGAATTTTGCCGCCCACTCTATGAGTGGGGTTCCTTTTTAGTCAAACCCACGAGTACCTCAATCATCTCCTACCCGATCAAAATCTCTACTTCAACAACTCAATCATCAAATTCTACTCCCCGGCCCCCATACACACACACCTGCTGCCCAGTATGAGTCAATACACCACAATTTCCGACGGCGTAGTAGTGACCGACAACGGGGTATATCATGACCTTCCTCTTCTTGCAGCCCAATGTGACTAATCGGCAAAATTCTAGATCCCGCCCCCAGTGAACTGGGTCAATTCCTACGAGGACATGGGAGGGGACATGCTTTGGGGCCATGGTGGTCAGATGGAAGATGAGGTACGGGGACGTGGCATTGAGGGAGATGTCAGGCCTCACTATGGAATGGCACCCTACACGGGAGAAGCACTCTATCTTTTCGAGGTTGGTAGTGGCCAGTTCTTCTTCTTCAACGCCATTGATGGTTCCATGCTGCAGATTAGGGATCAGAGTGATCTGAAGAGCATTGTTGATATCCTTGACGATGAGAACAAGGGCTTACCCGCACTTGACATTGAAGAGATCTAGCCCCGCGATTTGGGGAGTGCATATAGACCAAATTCTAATATCACGAGAATAAACTAATCACTCGACCCAGCGATTGTCATGCCTTGTGATTAGAAGAAGAAGGGGAAGTCGCTCTAGCAACCAAGACTCAACCTGTTATCAGATTATGCAGTGAAATATGATATGCCAAGTAGTCAATAATTATGACACGCCAGTCTTATTTAGTCCAAGAATCAATATTACCGGTATGTCAGGCAACGGCACGGCACGTTCTTAACGACTGGTTGATTACAATCCTCTCATATTGTCTCATCCTGGAGCTTTGACCTCTTGCTTCAGCTGAGATCGCGTTTTTGGAAGAGATCTACCAATATTCCTTGGTTGCCGATCATAAAAGCGGGTTATCAGAGCGGGGTTCCAAGACAATTTAGGCCCCAACTAGGAAATTGTGTAGGCAATCAATAGGCATGTTGACAGCTGAACTGGTAGGTGGCGCGCACCAAGAAAAAAAGGGCACCATCACCCAGGGACTCGTAAAGTCGCTACGCTGTTTTGAATTCCTTGCGTTTCCCCCATCAATTCTACTGGGAGGTAAGAGAATCCTTCCACAGTGGATTTATGTCTGACGTAATTAGCTTACGACAGTCTTCTCTTCGCCGCTTTGCCTAGCGACCCCTTCTAAGTGTTACTATAAGACTCTGTAATAGGGATCGAAAGTAAGCAGACCAAAAAAGCCTTCTTATATCCCGAAAATAAATGGTTGCTTTTCTTTTAGAAATCCCTGCTATGTAATATTAAAGCAGATAGAAAAGTTTCATAGCATAAAATCAGCTATAAACTACAGCTAAAATCTAAACGTTCGATACAGCATAGAAAATTCCGCGCTTATTAACACATCTTAAATATTAAGCTATAAGCTTCTTTCTCAGTAAAACTCATAACATCTCATTTCTTTGGCTTGTGGTCCCGGATGGTCTGTTCTGTTGCTCAGAGTAAGGGTAATGCTTGCCACAAGTGAAGGACCCCGCCGAGCAAGATCAGTTACTGCAATATTGCGGTGTCGCTCAGTTGAGCGGATACATATCAAGAAGACCGCTCCTGTACAATTACTACCAACGAAAAGCCTTATCAAGCCGTTGTTTAAATCTAGCCCATGGGGTTCTATCGTTCTTTAGTCGGCTGCCGCCAAATACCCAGTAAAGGAACATTGAAAAGGTTGTGCCATCTCGTGGTGGAGCCTCGCCAGGATTCTTTTGTAGACATAAGTGTCAGTGTTCTTGTGAGGGAGTTCGATGTTGCTTTGTTAGGCAAACAGATATGAAACTCACCTCGTCATCGACCCCTTTGATAGCATATATAATTTCCCACCGTCGACCGAACCGATACACTCTCTCAAAGTCTTTGTAAGAATAGTCCTTCATGATCAGGCACTTAACACCGCCGTACTGCATAAGATTCCATCGGCTTTTTGGTGACAGTATACCGCTGTAAACACGAGACCCTGAAGCTTCTTCCTCGCTGTCGTCATTCGTTGCCAGAGGCTCGTAGCAGCGATAAGCGGCTCCAAAGAACAACAAGTAATAAATATTGCCAACTACTAGTACACTTGCGACAATAGTAGGAAAGCCCCATCCTGGGAACGCGTCCCCACTTAGATCAGAGCTTCTGTATGGCGGGATGGCAACGACGACGAGGATGACAATATTCAGCATTATGAATATAGGGATAGTCACAAGGACTACGGCTCCGAAGAAGCTGCCAGTCCCAGTTGAGGATTCTGCGGGTACTCCGGAGACACTAGGAGCTTTCTGCCGAGATCTGAGATTGAGACTTCCGAGTCCAAGAACCACTACACAGAACGTTATCATGATGTGTACGATAAAGAGAATGTTTCAACCTACTAAGGATGAAGCAGTGGGCGTAAGTCTGTATATAGCCCGGGAGCCCAACAGATTCGAGAGTACTTTTGATTGAAGCTGAGATAGCAATCATGAGGACAGTGAATAGCCAATGAGCAATCAAGCCACCCTGAGGAGACCTGTAATGAAAGTCATTTTCTCTTGTTCTTTCGGTCCGTTTTATGCAGTCATCTTGTTTCAGATATCGAGACCATGGTAAAACTTCAGCCTGGCCAATGACCTGCTTGACTGGGCAAATGTTAGCAGCATGATAGAATTGTAAGAATGTTACCTCTTGAAAAAGTATAAATGATGGCATTTAGACTACCAAAAGCTGAAATGGCGATGATAACTGGCCAGGCCCGCCTCGAGGTGGGGTTATTACCCGAGAGCTGAGAGTCGAGGCAGTATTAGGAGTGAACACTATGACGAGCAGTTGAAATATTGAGTCACGTACTATAGGGGGGTAGTTGCGGTTATGACTTTCAGGAAAATCGTCGTAGTGAATCGAATGGAGCTTGATGAAGTCAGCCAATCTCTTCAGAACTAGTTCAAGCAGCAGAAACGACTGACTACCACAGCCACAACCATCAAATAAAGGACTCCAACGGTGCAAACAGCTGTAATGAAGCCCACCCGTAAGACTTTGTGTTTTCTTCGAGGAATCCCTCCAGCGACCTATCGGGGTAACACGTTAGTTAGCATCAGCTGCAGTAGGTGACTCTGGAATATCATTGAAACGTGACCAAAGGAAACAAACTCACGAAAGTAGCATTCTCCCAGCCCTCGAAGCTGAACAGAACAGCAAGTAATGCCTTAGCAAATTGGACCTTGGAAGGAGACCCATGCCACTCGAGCCAATCTTGAGCCCGGGGAACAGCATTTCCTTTCCCGTCCTCAATGTCGCTGGACAGTGCAGTCAAGGCTACAATGATAACGCCGATAAGGAAGCCTATCTTGACGACAGCAAGAAACTTGTTCAGCTTGCGACCCCAGCTAGGGCTGAAAAACTGCGTGAGGCAGATGATGGATATAATCGTGACTCCGATAAAACGCATAAGGTCTTGATTGACGTCAGTATCGACTTCGGAAACGGTCTCATCATCCCCGTTGACAACGGTACCATTATACCCATCGATATCAGTACCATTGTTAGCTTTGTGGGCATTGATGCACATGAGGATCATTCGACCGAACTGCAAGCTGTTAGTTGCAGAGTTGAAGAAGACAATGAACATCAGAGATTAGACGATATAGGCCAGCAGCCCGTCGCCCATCAACTTCCGACGCAGCTGAACGAGCCTCTGCAGAGGATTAAAGACCCCCTTGTTACTTCCTGTAGAAGGGACTGTGCCATTGGTCGGTGTTAATGCGCCGTCGTTGGCCTTTCCATTCTCCTCATGCGTTGACGAGCAGTCTGAGGTATTGGTAGGATCAGGTTTGACATGCGATGTGACTTCATCGAGCTGCTCTTATCAGTCTAGAGTCAAGAGGCATCCAGAGGAACAGGCACTCACGTAGATTAGTTCTCCCCCATTATATGGGAGGACCTTTGCGAATTGAAGATAGATGGCAGTGCTATACTTTCATTAGCCAGCGTAGCTTTGACAGGGGATCAATTGTATGACCACTTTTCGCCAGAGTCACTGGTGGAAGGAAAGCTCATGGTGCAAACCTCATCAAACAATATAAGAAGCCAACAGCGAACAGTCCTAGAGTAAGACTCTTGTTTCCTGTCAGAAGGAAGACTGCAGTTGGGGATGTGTATATTAAACCATTTATAATTAAACTCTAGGTAACCCAATAATAGTCTTTTCCCATAGCTCCTCTATGAATTCCCGACTAGCAGTCCCCATTGGCCATGCTACCCTCCGTAGCGTCCCCTTTGCTTGTGACCAAGTCGAGATACCCAAAGAGGTTGCCTGCTGCTTCAAAGCCTTCTCAAAGAACTGTCTGGCTGATAACAATCCTCTGTCTTGCTCATTGTCTTTGAGAGCGCGCAAGGAGGCTATAAGCCCTACCAACGTCTGCCACAGCATAAACGCCTCGTTCTTTGGTTTTTCCTTCGAGGTAAGGACTTTGTCGACATCGTGTTGCAGTAATGTAACGCCGTATTTGTGAATGCGTTTGTCGACATACTCCAGCGCCCCGAGAACATCTTGCATATAGAAGATAGAGGCGATAGTCAATCCGCACCATGGTCCGACGAATGATGATGAGGTCGTATCATGATTCTCCTCTTTCTTTCCCGGCACGGAAATAGATTGAATATGCGCCGTGACGTATTCTCCTAACACCCTTGATGCCGGACCTCTCCGCCAGAAACCTTCGAACTTTCCATCGGCTGTTTCGATTCCTGTGTCTTTAAACATATGATCCTGCGCTGCCGTAAAATCCCGTATAGAGTTGATGATGACTTTTCCGTCTGCGTTGTTGAGTCTTGCGCCTTGCGGCAACGGGCTGAAGAAGAATGGAAACAGACGAATAGCTTGGAGTTTGAAACCGAGGTTCTCCATGGCTTCGCTCATGTGCCATGTATGTGATAGCTTGAGAAGATTTCGACCCGGTACAGCATCGAGACTGCTACCGTGGCCACCAGTTCGGCAGATGCCGCTGAGTAAACTCTTGAGGCCTGTAATGTAGACATACGACCTGATGACATGTTAGAAAAGGGGGCGATGGATCGAGATGGTTTGTCGGGCGCCTCACATGACGAAGTAACGGTTAGCCAGTTCTCTATCAGTGGAACAGCAATCAGAACGCGTCGGACCACTTTTATCAGGTCGAGCAGTTTCGATCAGAGCCAGAATGCCACTGATGTGAGTCTCGGCAGCAACAAGCTCCCCATGACAGGCCTGGTAAACACGATGAGCCAAGGATTCTGGAAAGGGTAAAGTAGGGCGCTTCACCTCTGCGAAAGCCAACGTTGCCATTTCTCTAATAATCGCAGCTTCAAGTTTATAGTCTCCTGATGCGATCCAACGATTGATGACACGCATGACCTCAATTTTATGATATAAGAAGGTGGACTCGAATGTAGCGAGGTCGCCGAATTGGAAGGAGAAATGCATTCCGGCCATGAGGATAGCACTTCGGAGTGCGCATGGGTTATCTGTCATACGCGCGAGACTACTTTGGTGAGCCACAGATGTCGAGATTGACAGGTATACTAACTATTCTGTACCAGGTGTTTTTGGTGTCGCCTTTAGTGTCCGGCTCGATTCAAACACTAAATGGAGTCAGCAGGTCCACAAGTATACAGCTGTTCATGGCAAACTGACAGTATTGAAACAATTCATGAGATTTGAGCGGCATGGCAACAGCCAACTTATTAAACCCTGTATCATGATTCAGATAACTTAATCGAGGAGGAACATTCGTCTTCTTCAAGCAAGCCATCTGCTTTGGAGTCTGCTCGAGCTCCCAAGGCATTTGATCCCACGGACGAGCCTCCTTCTGCTGCGCCCTTCGCTCCCTAAGCGGAATCTTCGGGGGCGCATAAACGCAGGTCCTTTGACCCCTGACACAATTGTGACTATGATGTCCCCATATTAGTTACAGATCCCAGCTTACAGTGGGGGCCAAGGATTCAGCATCACCATACCATTGCGGTCGCTGCTCGTCACATCGTTTCCGGCGGGTCCGGCAATTGGAACAGCCTGTTCGACTGCGAGTGTGGAACTGCCGTACTCTAGAGTCCGTTTCTGGCGTCGTTGAGTTCTCCTTCTCTGAGCTTGAAGACATTTCTTGGGATTTATTGAAGAGATAAGGATGATAATTGAGTCAGCCTGACAGGGCGTTGGTGATGGAGACAAGGTGGCGCGTCAGCACTAACCCGGTCTTTTGAGATGATTACTCAGCTTGCGAGATGAGCCAATCAGAAAATTTACGGAAATAATTAGAGTTTTTGGTAGCGGAGACACTGGCTCGCGGGAAGCTAACCTAGACCATGGAATTGGGAAATGCAACTCAATGTCTTTCGCGTCATGCAATACGACTCTTCACTCATTGAATCATTGGTTGAATCAGACAAAATGCATTATAGTCGGGATAACACTCAGCCATGGGTGTTATATCTTCCATTGTCGCATCAGTTAGCTCCTAAGCTTCATTTGTCGCGACGATCCCACTTACAGAGATAATTCTTGTGAGTTGCTCAGAGATGTCAACCCGGTTGTTCTAAAGATTCCACAGATACTAGCGCTATACTTTGTCAGCTCTCATCTAGTCAGCGTGATAGTTGTATGAACTCACAAGACCCCAAGACTGAGCGACAAGCAGATGGTATGACGTTCTTTGGGCTTCATGTTGAGACCGTGGAGGGCAATCCATGGGAAGCCAGCTAGGATAAAGTCCATCGTAGTAGCATAGGCTTGAGAGAAGGTCAGAACACAGTTAGAACAGATACACGGAGTTTGATTAACAGCAGTACGTGATAGCAACGACAGTCAGGCTAAGATGACAGACCCTCTGGTTGGCTAGCTCAGGGTTCCAGATCGACTTGGCCGGGGTACACTGGGCGAGGACGGTGACAGCAAGGAAAATGCCCATGATCACCATCGACACAGTGCAAAACCAGAGAAACCATCGATGCCTATGACATGTTTCGTCAGCATTCACACTATAGACTTGGACCTGTCCGATGAGAATGTACAGCATCGCATGCGCGAACTGCGGAACCTCGAGATCTTCATAATGCTGGCAAAGGCGGAAGCAAACAAGAACAATGAGCGACGTGAAAGGAAACGACTATAGTGCGGAAATTCTTGTCAAAAGACCCGTGGTTGCTCTATTTCCAATGCGTGCCCACCCCTATAACCGGACATTACTCGCGGCGCGGGATGATCAGAGGGGTCGTGGCTTGAAGTAGGACTTTAGATCCAACAGATTGCCCTACATCTTGTTAAAAATGTGCTTTTGTGGGCTGTATTAGAGTTCATTAGTGTATCGGTTATAAGTGTCCCGCCGCTATATCGATGACTACGGGTGCTTGGCTCTGGTTAGTAAACACCGGGGAGGCGGCCGGGACGGGATGGGAATGTCGTCCGATTGGGGTCGTACCGAGAATACTTAGAACAGACTGGGTCGAAGCGGGAACTCTTACATACGCGCAATCTCGTTGTCTTGGTCAGCCCTGCGGTCTAGGCCCGCCCTACGCGGAGAAGATCGTCGTTGTCATTCATCTCACTGAGTTGCCTCAAGCTGTGAGGAGCGCTTACTTGGTTCTTGAAGTTGCTTATCAGTCACATTCCCCCTCTCTAAGCACGCTCGGATACTAATGCAGTGCCTCTATTGCTTTTTATGGCTCTCTGACGCTCATATGCCCTGATACAAAGACTTGAATGGAGGTGAGGGGGGCGAATCTTGGTGGGCATCATATATTTACTTCTGTGACGAAAGCTGTCGCATCTGGATGGGGTTAAAAAAGCCCGTAAGAACTAGCGCACTTGGCGGTTGTGGTGGGAAGAGGACCAATGTTGCAGCGAGATGGCACTTTACCTAAACATGACAAAGCTGAATGCCACGGTTGGTGAAATGGAATAGCTGTTTCTTGGGAAGCAAGATGAAGAATTGGCAATTGTAGCATTGAAGTTGTATAAGCAGCTGAAAGGCTAGGGCACAGGGACCTGCAGGTGGTCCGGACTTCGAATATGCACAAAAACTACTGTATGCAGACCTGTTGTACCTGCCGCATGATCCTCGAGCTTTAACACTGCATGGACATGATGATTGATCCAGTATTGTGGATTCCGGAATCTTTCTCGACATCAAGACCGACCTTGACGCATGCTTACAATTTGGCTTTTAAGCTTCTATATACACAATACCCATACCTAGAAGCGACATTATGATCGAAACTGCAACAGTTATCGCAACAGCCATCATATGATAGTTTGCTAAGTCGAGTTTGCCAGTCCTTCAAGTTTGGCAGATCAAGTACTGGGCTACAGCACGAGATTCCCTCTCTTTGGGCAGACTCATCTACTTGGCAGTCGGGAAGCATACCCTTGATATGATACATTCAACCACTGGAGACGGCACATTCGAGTACCATCTGTTGGATCAAGCCTACCAGTAATAGTACACGCATTTTTCCCTACTATTGCTACTGGCGTTACATCGCAGGTCGAAGCCTCGGCTATCTGTCCGTAATCGGTTGTTGACCCATCCCGTCGTGGTACATAGGCTTCTCTGCATCAAATTCGGATCGGCGTCGAAGGTTTTGTCACATATAGCAGTACAGTGCCAGGTTTCCTTTCGGCAGAATCTTGCCGATGTGCATTGGGTACAGCAATAGTGTGCTGATGTTGGGAGATGGTGTTTCCAGGATCTTGGTGAACCCAACTGAGCATCTCGATAGTGCTTACAGGGGTGCGGGGAGGTGCCATGTTGATAGTTTGACGCCCTAGTTTGTTGTTCCAGTGCACGATCGAGGATGGTGAATGTCTGTAGAGCGTCGTCTTTCTAAAGATGTCAAAATCGTGTAATGAAGGCTTCTTATTCTCTTCACATCCCGCAACACACGGATTCTTTCCCGAACACATAAGGGTAGTTCCCTGGCTTCAGACGCTTGACAGGTTGTGCTCTCTCGTAATACGATCAGCACAGCACAGGGGCGTTAAGCCTTGATGCTTACTCTCAGGCATCTTACATGAGTCGTGGAGAACGCCAGAGAGTGTGAGATTAAATGCTGCGGGCTGAAATGAATCGGTAGTTGGATGACCAGCCGCTCTTTGACTGTCCTCGCCGCAACATTGCACGCATAAGAAAAGGGGCTTCCCGTTTCTGGACCACTAATAACAGGATGGCGTTACTAGCTCTCCCTGTGAAGCTTTGCCAAGCTATGAATATCCGCCCTGAAATATGTATCAGAACAGGGGATCAGGGCTTGCAAAGTCAGACTTTCCGTGAGACGCCGCGTGAGCATCCCTGTCAAGGACTCACGTGATCGGAATGTCCCTGACAACCTGCTGGCTTCCGGTATGTGAAGGACCCAAGCCAAGTTTCAACAGCGCATATAACAGTTTATTTACACTCTATCAATCTCATGATACAACCACTTTCATTGATACTACATCGAACGCTATAGCCAACCGGTTCATCTTGCTGAAGTATCATACTCCGCTCGGCTTGACCTGGTAAACAGCATTCTCAACCGCGACAGACCCATCCCCATCGATAAACCAGCGCAGCTCACTGACAAAAGCGGAGCGCTCTACCCATTTCAGGCCAGGATGGCTAGTCTCAATAATGGGAGATCCAAGCCACTCATTCTCTCCAAACTCAAGTGTTCGAGCCTTCGGTCCCCCAGTGAAAACCTCCATCCACTTTTCATCAATCTGTAGAACACCCTTGAAGTGGATGTAAATACCATGACCTTCCTTCGATCGAAATTGGACTCGGACGTCAAGATGTCCGGTGTTTGTATCAGGATCACGCTTATCAATGGTTAGCATTTGTCTTTGGTACCCGTATGAAGAAGGGACATACCAAGATCCAATCGGCGCCACCAGGGAGAAGCTCTGCCTCGAGGCCACTCCCCTTGATGTGGCCGTGCGTCAAGAAGGCGATGATGCGATGATTGTTACCCTTGGCTTCTGGGATGACGAGGGCCTTCTCCGGGGACGTATACATCCTCATTGTGAAAACGCGTTCGAGTGAAGGTGTCATGGTTACGACTTGTGATGTCAGGATCCAGATGTCCTGTTTGATCTATGATGCGAGATATGTGCAAGTGAGCTATACCTGTGCTGTATGTTGCTCTCTTATACAAGCTATCAGCTCGGCGGTGTTGACTACATGTCGGGCTTATCAGTGATTAATGGATTCATCTCATCACACGTACTTATCCCACCCAGCCTGTTTGAACGGGTGTCTGAGTAATAATCTTCTGCTCGTCTCATCGTGGACAAGAGGGAGCAGGAATGGTGTTTGGTGATCCCCACTTCGTTGCATCTGACGAATAAACCGTGGTTTGCCATGCAAGCGAGCGACGGCTTGGTCACTAAGCACCTGCATGTAATCAGAGAACAGCATACAAATATTTCTTGAGTTATATGCAGTATCCAGAGATCGATATTGCATCATCATTCTATCGCTCGCCTGAGTGACCTTCATCTCGATCCGTGACGTTGAAATAAACGGAACTGATAAGATAAGATAGGATTTATCTTATCGATCTGTGATAAGCCGTAAAGCAGCCAATTACGTCGATCGCTTCATTAAACCTCCTTCATGGTTCACAGCGGGAGCCAATAAAACATTGGTGATCATTGCGAGGTGAAGCGCCAAGGCATAATTTCATTTTGGTCATCCAAGCTTACTAAACATGGCCGCATTGATGCTGTATCCATGCATGCATGCATATCAGTAATCAGCTCCGAGCAACAAAATGGAACCCGCTCGTCTTATCGGCTTTACACAAAAGGCAAGCACCCACTATTCCCGTAACCAATAAAGCTGCAACTAAGGCGTGATTGGAGTTTCCTCGGCCTTCGCGTGATATCGCGATTTGAAAGCAGATATGACCTGTTCAGGATAATGCATGTTAGTAACTCATCGATTGTCAATCAATGAATGAAGGGAATCGGGACGTATATATACATGCAGTAAGTGTTAATAAACACGATCAAACCATCAAAACCCTGCGTCACAAGATCGCAATTACACTTCTACTTCTTGACGCTTATTCACTTACACTACTAAGAACTATAATTGACACGTCTACGCTAAAACGTAATGACCTCACAGGCCCCCAAGCTGTTCAAGCCAATCCAGGTTGGCGCTCTTGATCTACACCATCGGATCGTCCTCGCACCCTTGACCCGTGGTCGTGCTGATTCAGCTGGTGTTCCCGCTACCTACGCCGCGGATTACTATTCCCAGCGCGCTACACGTACGTGCTCACTGTGGCTTCACCACTGGAGAAACTATCACTAACTGTGATGACTAGCTGGCGGTTTGTTGATCACGGAAGGAACCTTCATCTCCCTTGAGGCATCTGGGCGACCTTTTTCACCTGGGATTTATTCCAAAGAGCAGATTGAGGCTTGGAAGCATGTCACTGATGCAGTTCATGCCAAAGGAGCCTTTATCCTCTGCCAGCTCTGGGCTCTTGGGTAAGCTAGTCCCCACTTCCTACTGTCGTTTTCTCCGCTGATATTACTATCAGACGTATTGCCGAACCTGATCTAGTCCCCGCTGTTCTCAGTCCGGGCTCACAACCATTCTTCGAGGACGGTGATGTCACACGAAAGATCCCGGATAAGTTCACTGTCATGAGCGAAGCTGATATTGATAACTTCGTGGGATACTACCGACAAGCAGCTTTGAACGCTATGGAAGCTGGTTTCGATGGCATTGAGATTCATGGCGCCAATGGATACGTAAGCATTCATACCCCAAAAGATAAATCCATGGCTGACAGAAAACTTGTAGCTCGTTGATCAATTTGTGAGTATTTGCTGTTACTTAGGAAGTGGAACATGCCTGACAGTACCGTAGCTCCAATCAACTAGCAACGACAGAACAGACCAATACGGCGGCAGTATCGAGAATCGCATCCGTTTTCCCCTTCGCGTAGTCAACACAGTCAGCGACGCCATCGGACCCCAGCGCGTTGGTGTCCGTGTGTCACCATTCACACGCTTCCAAGGAATGCGAGAAGCCGAACCGCTATCACTCTTCGTTCCTTGGGCACAAGCTATTGTAGATGCGCAACCGCGCATTGCGTACATTCATGCCATCGAGCCTCGAGCAGATGGTTCGATAGATACACCGGAGCATTTACGGAAGGCTGAGGATACTTTAGCGCCTATAAGGGAGGTAGCTACTCGTGCTGGTGTGCAGTTTATTGTGGCCGGGGGATATACGCCTGAGAAGGCGTTGCAGCATACTAGTGAGACAGATGACCTCGTGGCCTTTGGGCGTCACTTCATCCGTAAGCGTTCCGTTTGTTCGCGTTTCCCCTCTGTTTGCTAACATTTCTGGTGCAGCCAACCCTGATCTCCCTGCCCGTATCAAGAATGGCTGGTCGTTGACCAAGTACGATCGTTCCGTCTTCTATGAGGTGAACGAGGTTGGATACAGCGAGTAAGCTAGCCCATTATCTATATACCTTTGAACCCATAACTAATACATTCCGTGTAGCTACGCGGTGTACAATACAGAGACAGCTGCGGCTTAATGAGTAACATGCAGTATATGTTTATGGACAAATGATAGATCTTCATATGTTTTCTTTTTCTTTCAGATTTATAACAGAAATCGGGTTATTTTCTATCTCGTCTGACTTCAATGTGTAGATCTTTTGACATGGCATTGTTTCGGCTCTGCGTGCAATGGTTATTCCCCGTTTCATAGCTAGACCTTAGAAGCCTGTCGACCTCGTACTTTTCTGGTAGCTACATGCTGGACTTTAACAATTAATTACAGTTGCTGAAAGCCTCTGGCCTTGAGGTGCGAGGTATAGCTTAGTGTCTTCCAAGTGTCAGGTAACATATTCTCCACGTTGCATCAGATGACCATTCTGAGTTACAATCACAGCGGCAAATAAATTGTGACTAAATGTATCGGTCATTGTGCGTTCCACGCTCAGCAGTTGATTATGCACATGATTCTAGCCGTGTAAGAATACTAATTTGCTGGCGTACGTAGTGTGACTCTTCAGGCGGGACGATTACTTTTGTGAGTAAGCACTCCGACTCTTGGTTACATCACAAGCAGCATCGGCAAACGAGTACATAAGCGCATTAAACGTCAATTGTAAGGATTTACCAAGCGCCATTTTCCCCAGAAACCTAATCTCCAACCTTATCAAACTCCATCAAAATGGCAACTCAGCAAACCGCCAAGACACAATATGTCGAGTCGCCCAACGGTGTCACCTTTGCATACCGTCAGATCGGCCATGCGTCTGGCGTCCTTCTCGTGCTATTGACGCACTTCCGTGGCACCATGGACAAATGGGATCCTCTCATTGTCAACAACCTCGCAAATCACCGCCGCATCATCACGGTCGATTATGCTGGTGTTGGTCTCAGCACTGGCGACGTCGCTACTTCAATCCGACAATCCGCCGCCGATATAACACAGTTCGTCGAACTGATCGGCGAAAAAGAGATCGATCTTCTTGGGTTCAGTATTGGAGGCTATGTCGCTCAGATGGTAGCCCTCAATGCGGATCCTAGCAAGGTCAAAGTTCGCAAATTGATCCTTGCGGGAACAGGCACCAGCTACGGACCTGATCTTGTTTATTCTCAAAACAAAGATGTTGGTTCTGTTGCGGGTGTCAAGGATGTTGACATCAATGTCTTTAAGACACTCTTCTTCCCCAAGAACGCTGAGGGAGATGCTGCTGCTGAGGCTTGGTGGTCGAGGATTCATGAGCGGAGTGCAGCGACGAGTGGTGAAGAGGCTTCCCTTTGGCTAAGCAGTGGCTATAAAGATGGTGGCAAGGGGCTTATGGGCCAGGTCACACAAGGTCACGATTTTACAGAGAGTCCAGAGAAGAGCAAGGGAGAAGATGGTGCTTATGAGCGGTTGTCCGATCTCAAGATACCGGTCTTGGTCGCAAATGGAAGCGTGAGTGACCTTACCTGCTTTTTCAATCGAGGCCATATACTAACAGATATCTTTTGACAGAACGACTATATGATCCCCACGCCCAACAGCTATCTTATCTACCCAAAGGTTCCTAATGGTCAGCTCATTCTTTATCCCAACAGCGGCCACGGCTTTCTCTTCCAGTACGCTCCGACCTTCGTCAAACATGTCGAGACATTCCTTGAGGGCTAGTAAACGGACGGTATCAGTCTACTCCTCCGAGCTGAATAGGATACATGGGAGACCAGTTGGACATATAGAGACCTTTATTGAGCTACCGCTGTCACTCTTCCTTCACTTTTCCGATCTCATTCTTGTGTTGCTTATCTCCATTCATCCCGCGACCGATACACCATTGCCTCATTGTCCCAGTGACGTATCCGAATGCTAGTCTTCCTGGATGATGGACATCTTCAACGACTTACGAATGTCCATAGGACGAACGGCGGGCGTTCTCCCGAGACAAACAGTTGAGTTGACAAGGCCTATGAGAAACAGTTAGCCTTTAGACTTGACTCAATGCGTACCCTTTCTCTTACACATAATAAGTCTCTCAACATCAATCTTGACCTTTGTCTCCCGTCTACTAGGCGTCTTCCATTGCTCCCCGGGTCCTTTGCCCTTCGGTGGTGGCGGCATGGCACCCATCGCCATACCCATCAAACCAGCGGGGCATGAAAATGAAGGAGGCTCGTCACTTTCTAGATCTTCCTCCACGAAGTTCCCGTTACCTGGCATGTCAGGAGGTGTAGTAGGCCCAGAACTTGTCTCGGAATCCGATGTTCGCTCAAACATGCTCATGTCGATATAGGCTGTGATGAAGTCTTTACCTGATGGAATAGTAACGCCGTAGCCGCGGAGACAAATCTCTATTTCGTCTGAATCGAAGAAATCTCCGTCATATTCGGGATCGATGATGCGTAACTGTGGGTTCAATCGTAGATCTCTGATCTGTTCGATGGACGGACCAAAGGGTCCCATGGAGAAGCCTGACATCTCGGATGGTCTGTAAGCCTCATGCTCCAAAGACCTGTTCCCAACAGGTAGATCACAATTACCGTAACCATGATCAGGAAAGAATGTCCCAGCACCGCCGACATTAGTGAACGGAAACCTCCAATTATTAAGCGTAGTCTCCTTTGACTTCCGAAGAGCCTCACCCAATCGACTACTGATCTCCTCCCTCGTCTCAAAATGCATGCAGAAGCCAAAGACCTTGCGATACCATGCAGGAGGCGCATGCCTCATAGACGCTAGAAGAAACGCCGCTTCCTGAGAGGCTCTGTGGTACCGGCGGCCGAAGTTTAGCTCTTGGTTTGCGTAGGACCGAGGGTTGGGGAGGGTAGAGTCCCATGTCGATCCAGGGAGTTGGTAGGTCATGTCGTAGAAGTGTGTTTGGGTGGTGGGGAGTTGGAAGTAGGAGGTTGCATCAAAGGAATAAGGTGTCGAATCAGAGTTGGGGTCGGAGTTTGATCTTGGCTGGGAGAGCATGGGATCGATTCGGTTGGTGGTGTAGTCCATCTGGCCGGTGCCATCCATCATGGGAAAGTCGAAGTCCTGGGCTTGCGGGATTGGCGGCGTCAGATCAGGTGAGACGTCGGCTGGAAGCTCGTCGAGAAGAGCATTCTCATCTACCTCTCGAGCACTGGACAGCAAGCTTATGGTCGACTGTTTGATATGCTCAATGATCTGTGGGTTATTCTTGACAGTATCTTGCTCAAGAATGACAGAAGTGAAGTTGATAAACTCCCTTCCCATATCCTCTTTGGACCTCTCTAGCTCTTCGACCTTCTGCTTCAGGATATCAATAGCAGACTCCTTACGCTGTCGATATGCGCGCTGTGCCATGCGATTCTGCATCCTTCGGCGCTAATACAGCTAGTTAGAAGACCACTTGATACTCGAAAGTCGTATCACTAATCATGCCGAGATGTCAAGTCACGGTGTACTCACGTTTGTCACCGATCCACCCTCCGGTACTTCAAGTGGCCTTCTTCCCCTTTTGGGCCCCGACCCCGTGTCTCCCGCATCAAGTGGCAGTACAGAGATACTATCCATTTCCGAGATAGAAGAACTCATGGCTTAATAGGAATACTCTGACAAGATGGTATGACGCAAGGTTTCATGGCACATTAGAGAAGCTGATCAGCGGGAGATATATTTCACCCAGACATCGAGATAGGAAACTGGTCTCTGCGGCGTTACGGCCCGTCGAGAGTTCAAAGTGCCAAACGTTGCTTTCAGCTGAGAGGTAAACCAATCATTTAGCGAAGAGTCACTGACTAAGTGATTACAGATCGGACTGATTGATCCGCATCTCCACCAAGACGCCGGCATGCAGCATAGACGCCGGCATTGGTTTGCAGCTGAAGACAATGTAGATTCCTACAACCATATTGTGAGCGGCATTCTTATTCACTGAACTCCCCTGACGTTGCAGTCTGCATGGATGCTCTATTCACATCTCTTGTCAAATCCCAGTATCGCAGTATATCCGGAGTTCAATTGCATTCCCTAGGTAAGAAGAGAATTATATTGAGACCGCCAGAATCTCACGTCAGATTTTGGGGTAAGATATGGTATGGCGACATACCGGTCAACCGTGGCTTCTCGTGTTCGAGACGCCGGCGTCTCGCTTTGGCTCTACGATAGCGCCGCGGGCGTTGTTGCACAAAGGTTGTACTCTCCCCAGCACCCTCCTGCCAGAATGAGGCCATACTCATTATCAAGCTTCTCTCATAATCTAGCCTAGAGTCTAATTGCTATAAGAATTGGTATCTGTTGGATAGTCGTCGTCGCTTGGTATTGCCTGTCGGGATTTTGGTATCGATACCCTGAAAACGTTGGATAGTCCTGGTGGGGTGTATCAGCCCTAAGATACAGGCCTAGGTCCCTATTGGAGAGCTGCTGGCAATGATGTGGCTGGTACATTTCAGCGTGCATTAGCGCCTGGGGACAAAACACTGGAGCCCGAGTACTGATGGGTCGGCTACCCGATTATACATGGTAATAGCAGTTCTCAGCCCCCAACCCTGCGTTCTTTCAACTGTTTTGGACATTAATAGGCTAAACAACGTCCATATCACCATCCCGTCACCTCCCTGGAGCATGGCTGAATTTAATCATTGGCAAGTGAAGTGCATTAAATGCTTAAAGCAATGGGGTTATCAAAGAATAAGCAGGAATTAATTCGAAAGAGTGGATCGGTTTTCAACGGAACAACTTTAAGCTTATTGGAGGAGTGAAAAGCGAAACTGGACTATTATAGAAAAGACTATTCTAATTAGGCATCTCCAGAACAGCCCTATATCTCATCTTGTTCTGCTCGACCAACTCAAAGACCTCCTTGATCGTCGACGCACCCTCGTGCTTAAAGATCTGAACCATGGGCTTGACACCATGACGTGCAGAGAACTCAAGCATCTCGTCGTGGATATTGCGCGATCCAACGAGGCTTGAAAAGACATGATATCCCTGGAAGAACATTGCTCCGGCACTGTGAGAGGGTCAATATCGGTCATGTTTGAGGGGCAGGCGAGTAACATACGGTAAGCTCAGAGGTCCGTGGACTGGGGCCGCAAGAGGGACAATGGTTCCATCTCTAGCGAGGAACTCCTTAGTCATGACCCTGCAGAAACATCATTAGCCAAGTCTTTCCGCGTAGTACTAAAGTACTTACTTATCCCAGTCAGGATATTTGGTTCCACAAATGACAAGAACGTCAATCGGCGCCGTAGCCGTATCAAACATGTTCTCAATGAGATGGAACTGCTTGGCGCCTAGCTGTCGTGCCTCATCCTCCTTGCTAGCGCTTGTGCTGTAAACAACAACATCGGCACCCATCTTATCCGCATACTGAATGGCGAGATGGCCAAGGCCACCGATGCCGAGAATGCCGACGCGCTTCTCGGCTGTCACTGTAGCCTTGAGAGCAGCGTACACAGTAGCGCCCGCGCACTGAAGAGGTGCAGCATGTTCACTGGCAAGACTATCAGGAATCTTGTGGAGATATGTCTCCTTGCCAATATAGTATGTACCAAAGGTACCATTGTCAAAGTCTCCTTCGCCAAATATCACACGCTCGTAGCAATAGATATCCCTTCCAGACAAACAGTATTTGCAGTGACCGCAAGCATCGCGGTGAAATCCACCACCTGCCCGATCACCGATCTCGAATTGTGTCACCAGCGAGCCAACTGACTCGACAATGCCAATTCCCTCGTGGCCAAGAGCTACAGGAGCTCCTAATTGGCAGAGCACGATGTCTGAATGGCACACACCACTGTGAGTCAAACGAATGAGAATTTCATGAGGACCAAGGTCAGGCAGCTTGACGGAGGATGGAGAGAAACCGCCGTTGCCATCGCCTGCGCGGTAGATGGTATGTTCTGTAGGGGTCATTTGATGCTAGAAAAGCGAGAGAAAGAATATTACGACTTGAAAGCAAGCGGCATGGAAGATGAATAGTATTGCCTTGTCAGTGAGGACGGTGGTGGAAGATATAGTCTAGAATATCCAAGCTCGGGATCAAGATAATCATTCTGATTTATAATGGCAAAGGGTTTCATTCAACCGAGACTTCCGTATATCAACTCTGAATACTATACAGCTACTTTAGATGATTACTACCTAAACACTATTGCATCAACGTCTCATGGCTTCTGCTAGTCGGGCATTTCTGTCATCGGCGGTGGTTACTAATCGTTCCCGGCCTCTGCAGGATGTACCAGCCAATTATATCGACCAGATGGCTATATTACTCACCAGTAGAAAAAAGACGACTGGGAGCAGCAGCGACATTTAGTGTCTACGTGAGGATCTGGTGACTATGGCAGCAAGACAACACAGATGTTAACTCTCTTCTATGATACTAATTCGAAAGATATGGTGGTGAAATATGTCAGACGGAATTGGCTGACTTGCGAATGGAACAGGCCGGAGCGTTCTTCTAAAGATCCCGACTAGCGTCGTAAGCTGTCGCGCCCGGCGATGTGCAGATGCCGGCGTCTTGATTGGGTTAGGAAAGGTGAGGTAATACAGTCAAGGGTATGATCACTAAGCAGCGCGCAGAATGCAATGGGACAGTGAGGGTATCACGAGAGGCAGTAAGCAACAACAGAATATTAAAATAGATAGATTGGCACCCTGTGTATCTGTATTGGAATTCAAGTTTCACTTTACTCAATATCAACAAAACTAAACTCAACCAATCTCATTCTTAAAAATGTCTTCGCCATTCAAGAAAATTCTCATCGTCGGAGCCACTGGCTCAATTGGCTCCATCATGTTAGACGCCCTAGTCAAAGAACCTTCCTTCACAGTCGCCGTCCTCCAACGCTCATCGTCGGCAGGCAAGCTTCCAGAAAACGTGCAAGTCATCAAAATCGACGATTCATACCCAACTGAAGCCCTTATCTCTGCTTTCACCGGCCAAGACGCCATTGTCAATTGCATGACTTCCTTAGCCGTCGCTGATCAACTCCGCTTCGTCGACGCTGCAGTCGCTGCGAAAGTTAAACGCTACGTTGCTTCCGAGTATGGTCTCAATAACAACAACCCTGACGCAAGAGCACTGAACTCCGTATTCCGAGAGAAGGGCCAAGTGCAGGATTATCTTCGCTTGAAGGAATCCGCTGGCCTCGAGTGGATGGCCATTGCTTGCGGCATGTGGCTCAAGTGGAGTGCCGTGCACGACTTTCTGGGAATGCATATCAAGGACAAGAGGTTTGTCATCTGGGATGATGGAGAAGGCTGGTTCAGCTGTACCACTGAAGCCAACACGGCTCTGGCAATGATCAACGCCCTGACCAAGAAATGGGAAGAGACAAAGAACAGAATTGTTTGGCTGAGTGACTTTGCTATCACTCAGAATATGCTCCTTGAGATCATTGAGAGCGTCAGCGGGGAAAAGCTGGCTGTTGAAAAGATTGATAGTGAGAAGATGATTAAAGAGAGCCAGGCTGCTGTGGCAGCTGGGAATCCTTACGCTGTTTATCATCTGATCGAGACGGGTTTTGTTACGGGGCGATTTGGGGGGCACCTTGAGAAGGAGGGGGAAATCATGAATGATTTATTGGGTCTACCGAAGCAGGACTTTGAGGAGGTTGTTCGTGCCGCTTTGAAGGCTGTCGAAGAGTCATGATTTTGTGCGTATAACTTCATGTATCAAAGATCCTGGATTCAGGTATGGGGGTTAATATTGGGGTATACCAGCTTATTTGAGACATCTTCTTTTCCGTTTAGTGAAATGACAGTTAAATACTGCCATTGTTAAATATGTCATTTATGACCGGGTAGGCTAGATCACATTCTATCCTTGGTGTGAAAAATAGTGAGATAGGCGGTAAGTTCAACATTGTAGCTACTTATCGTAAAAGTCGAATATGTGAACAAAGGTGGCTTTGCTTGACCGATCGCCAGAATCCGGACTTTTGGTTCCGATTGCAAGATGCAGACGTTGGAGCATAGAGGGACGGCTAGAGATACAGTACCAGGACAGGAATACAGGTTGCTACAGACTACTACTTTACAAAAGCAGGTCTCGTGAGACTAATAAGGCTGTATGAATATGCCTGGCTCATTCCATGACAGCAACCCAGCCTCAAAATATTTCGAGTTCACAAAATCGTCATCTAACATGAGATCAAGTTCCTCGTACATTTGCGGGATGAACGAGCTCATGTCTTCGGGCGGCCCCACGGTCTGGGTATCCATATCAACGTACTCCGACAACGGCGGTTCCATTCCTCCGTCAGAGAATAACGTGGATCTGTTCAACTGGTCTTCGATCCAGGAGAGGCCCGAGATAGAGAGATTGTCAGGCATGGCCGGAGATATCATGTCGGAATTTGCTTGCGTCAGTTCGCGTTTCAGTCGCGCTAGAATGGCGGAGAGGAGATGAGCTTGAGCTAAGACAGCGTTGTTCTGTGAATCAGAGTGGCCCATTGACTTGGCTGCAATGACGTATGCAGACGTAACTTGAGTAATCGTGTCAATGGCTTCGTTCTTCGAGGTTGATGACTCGTCAATATCTTGTCTTAAAAGCTTTGGGATCATCATGGTTGAATAGGCGATCATCAGGTGGGCTGTATCCCAAAGGTAGTAGATGATGTCTAACTCTCCCATTTCGATAGCCTGTCGCAGTACGCTCAATGCACTGCAGTAACAAACTCGAGCTGTATGAGTGATGAGATCATGCGGTGTAGATCTGCTTTCTGAGACGAGCATTCGATGTAGAAATACTGAGTTGAAGTAAAGACGCATGTAATCTCTAAAGAGGTAGATCAGGGGTGTTTGGAAAGTCTCCGGGTTGGGAACTGGATAATGTTAGGTACGGTTCTCCAGACTCTTGAGGTGCTTTCTATCTTACACGTATCGAATGCAGCCTGCCAATAGTCTCCCCATGCAGCAATCCTGTTATTAAAGTCATCCATATCCTTCTGAAACGTCTCGAAATCGAGTGATGACGGAGAAACACGAGAGTCGACACGAGTTCTCATCATGCTCTCATACACCTTACTGGCAATGCCTGTCAACTCATGGCCACCAACTGCCTTGCCATCTCCCAGTGGATATGTCCATTCTGTCAGGGCCATCCACTGCCTAGAGGCTACATGCTCCAGAACGATGGTTGTTGATAGAGGCCGGTCGGTGAAGTAGCTTGATCTGGTGACTGTAAGCTGAGCGCTCTGTGTCCATCCTGATTCAGAGGATCTTACGTCCGGTCAATGTTTCCCAGCGCCAGCCACACGCGATCTTTGTCTCTCCTTTGCCTCACTTGCAGCTCTCCCGACTCCTGAAGACCATGCGTGTCGTAAGAGACGCTTCGACGTGTCATGTTCCATTCTGCTGAAGCCGCCATCCGGAGTGCAAATCCGATCAGGGTGTAGCCCCTAGCATCGTTCGCGTCTTTCCAGTGATACATACAGATGATCGCCCAGATGTTCTCAATTGCCGAATTACAGGCCAGGAGAGCTCTGCCTAGAAGAGACTCGGCATGATCTCTTATGTGCCTATGAGACTCTGGTTGAAAGATCCGTGATGATATGGTGAGAATCATGGTGAACAGCAGGCTTGATCTGGATCTTGTGTATGAGAATGTGTAAAGGCTGGGATCGAGTAGTCCAACAAGGCAGTTGAAGTGCTTGAAGAACCTGCACAGATCAGCGAGCGAACCCCTCATAAGCCATATCATACATACCCTTCGTACAGATTCTGTGCGGATGGTCGACTAATGAGTCCCATATCAACGGGGTCATACTTCCCCGTCGTGTTCACTGCTTCTGGCAAACTCTGCTGGAGTATGCCCAAAGGGCTTGTAGGCTCTCCCTCCACTGGCCGATCTGGATTCATAGCCGCACCCAGTGACAAACCCCGAGTGTCCTGATAATTCGTGACAAAGGAAGCCGGTGTAAACGGGGACTGACCGGACCTGGAAGACGCGGAGACTGACTCAGGAGCTCGATTCTGATAAGAATTCCTCCAGTTTGGTAGGTCAGGGGCCTGGAATACTTGAGTATCTGAGAGGCGCTGTGATCCTGAGGACCCAGAAGCTAGTCCGTCCTCGATAGCCTCTTCTGAGGGACGTGTCCGGTCTTCCCTGGTGGGGATGTCAACTACATCACTTTGTTACGTGGTCTTGCCTACCTTCTCCCTGACACATCTCTCCTCCAGAGGCCCCTGCGATGCGATTCAAATACACATTGTCTCCTCAGTCTCTGACACCGATCACACACAGCAGCTGCCGGATCTGAAGTAACACACTTCATCTTCGACCGCCGACATGGCGTACAAGCGACTCCATGAAGTCTATACCCCTGTCAGCTCTCCTGTCTCATCCCCTTCGAGTATCACTTACCGTCGTTGCGCTTGCTGCACACTCTGATCAGCCATAGCCAAAATAAATCTCGAAATATCCTATATACTTGAAAACGAATTTTCGTATAGAAATATGCTGACAAGTCGATTTTAAAGGGATCTAAGCGTATTTTGGTAACACAGCTATTTGCGGCGTGAGTTGCGGGCATTGCGGCGATTGTGCATCGCGCTAAGCCCTGCCACGCTCAGCTAAGCGGCATTCCCAGCTGATTAGTGAACAAAAACCGCTGGAAGTTATGCAATCTGGCCGTCTTTCCTTCACCGGAGTGATTTTGTGATTATTCCTCGCGACGTCATTATGGACGCCTTCCATGATTTTGAGTATGAGGGGATCGCGATCGTGGGAATTGTATTTGTCAGTGGTCAAGGCAGACGCAATCGCAGCACCATCGTTGAGGTGCGCTCGGGCGAGTTATGAATCGTACCCGGGGTCATGTTATGTGTTTTCTTATGGTCCGAGTCGCTGGGTCTTGGCAGTCGAGTCATCATCAATGCTGCCTTGGAAGGTGAGCAATCTTCGAGGCATCAGTAATCAACCACCGTGACAAGTAAATTCCATCGAGATGAAGTGTTCAGAATGATAAGAAAAAATTGCTTTGCCGTGCAGGCGGACGTACTCTTTTTGACACAGAGTTCCTCATTCATAATCATTCCGCCTTTCTGTTGACACATTCGACAGGGGTGATCTACCAATCACAATATTGCTAGTACATGCCACCAGGATCTATTGGCTGATTGGTCTTAGCCGGCCGGTGTCTTGAGATGGACCACTCCACCAAGACGCCGATGACAAGGGTCAGGTCTTATCTTATCGGTTATCTTTCATCTTACTTATCTCAGTGTTGTAAATCATGAATATGTGTATTGGACTTGCGAGACAAGCATGCGGCTACCTAAACAGCTTTGGTTCAGTAAGGTAACAATCCGGATTGAGATATATATGTGATTTGGATTAGGTTATAATTATTGAGGGGAATGTGTGTTTTTGAAGACATCCGTGATCAGCCACGAAAATACTGTCTTGGTGATGATAGGCGATCAATCTGGTACCTTATTGCTAGACATTCTTTGCTCTGATCAGGGCTTTAAATTACAATTAGTTCTTAAGCTGTGAAGAAGAGACTATTTGACTATATACATACAGGATTAATGTCAGTACGACCGCAATGAATCGCTGAATATTCGCCAAATAATGTACTTACCCTAGGGCCTATCAATGGTGTCCGTGGAATGTTGTTCTGGATAAATATGCACTAGTGGGATAACAGCTTAGTTTCGGTCTCTCCACATTTAATAATCATCTCGCAGAAAGTTGCTCACAATTGAGATAAAGTATTGCCGGCATATTGCCGACTCCATCCTGTCTGTGGCTGCTTACTTGATGTTGGTAATCGGGGGAACGCATCATTCTTTGGCGGAGATTCTCATATCATTTCCCTCATACCACCTAGATATCCAAGAAGGATTGAGAGTGGAAAGTCTTTGCGAGCAGCATAGTGTCATATCTCTGCGCCATCGAAATGCCATCTCTGGGATGCGGAACCTGTCGAGGTTCGCCCTGTCAGCCCCCTGTACTTCACGCTACTAACAGAACTGATAGCGCGTAAAGTGCGCTGTGACCAAGCCTATCCGAAATGTAATCGATGCATCAAATCAGGACGTCACTGTAAGGGCTACGGCATGCAGTTGTCTTGGCCGCGCTGGAATGATACTCGACGGGCTATAGTTGGTCCTAGACCGCTTCTTAGAGGTAGACAAGCCGAGAATCGATTGGTGAATACTACCTTTGCAGATATTAAGCTGCACGATGTAGTATCTATGTCGAGTAAGACTTATGGAGTTCATATGCTAGGACTGCCTGAAGTGTCCTTTGGTCCTTCTGATGCAAGTTCCCTTGAGGCATCAGGGCCACTATCATTGATCAAAGGGCCGGCAGTGGGACCCATAGCTCGACTTGGCCCAGCCGATCAGGAATCTTTTCAGTACTGTAAGTCTAATCGACCAGTGCATACCAGCATGCTCCTTGGGAATAGCTTTCACTTACTCCAGCCAGTCATACAGACAGCTTCATACTCCATCACGTCTTTTGGCCATGATGCTCCAAGGGTCCGGGAACTGTTAATCCAGATAGCCCTTTCGGACTTTTCACCTTCATCTACAGCAGTTCTGAAATCTGCTCTAGCACTCGCATCCTTCCATCGCGCCAACCCACCCCAAACAACCGCCCAGTATAAAGTAGCCGCTCTGCGAAAACTAGCAGGGTCAACACAAGGTCGCATCAGTGTTACCGATTCAGCCTGCCACATAGCAGCTGGCATGATACTGAGCACGCTAGAGGTACGGGTTGCACCCTCCAAGAAGGGACGCTCTAACACCTGCATTAGATACAGCAAAACTCCATGAAGTCAAGCCATTGGCTATGGTATGCTTGTGGCGCTGCCAAGATCGTCAAGACAGCTGGGCTAGATGTGGATAACCTCGACCACGATACAGCTGCTCTTGTGGGCTGGGTACACTATTATAATACTTTATCTAGGTTCAGCCTGCGCCACTGGCAGCCACATATCACGCTTGATCCCGATGACGCTGCTGATTCGTTTCATCCAGTTGTATGCGGTAACGGACAGGTACGCACCCTCCACTACTGAGCGGAGCTAGCTAACAGGATATTTCTTGAAGCCCGAGAGTCTTACAGGAGCGCCGCATGAGATATTATACCTTCTGTCAGAAGCTTTCAACGCCGTGACAGTGCCTTCCGACCCGCGTTATGAAACTAAGGCTCATAGAAGCCATCTCGAAATACTAGATTGGAAGCTGCGCAACCTTGAGAAGAAGGTGCCGGACAACAACGCTTCTGCTGATACAACACATCCAGGATTTGATCTGGTGGTCGAGCTGTACCGTTTATCTACTCTGATCTATCTCAGGCGAGCTTCCGCAGGAATTCTCCAACTAGATCAAAAGTTCACAACGTGGGTCGGACAGGCATTTGAATTGCTTGAACAACTACCTGCCTGTCAATGGCCATTCCCTTTGCTTGTCTTTGGCTGCGAGGCAGAAAGCGATAGGCAAAGGACGATCATTCTGGAAGTTATGGAGAGGACGACTGAAAACATGCAGTATAGAAACATTGCGACTGTTAAAAGGGTTGTTGAAACGGTCTGGGTGCAAAAGGACTTGTATACGGAAGATATGAATTATGTTCGGAAGTTGGGTGTTATTCTGAGCTCGACTCATAAGTCGGTACCAGCGTTTATATAAACCAAAGGTATTAACCCAAAACATCTAAATTATACCCTCCAACAGCAGTTGAACCACAGAACTCAGTGAGTTGATATGTGTATTATTACTTGCATAAATGCCAGCATCAGCTGAGGTTTGGGGCGCTATTGTTGGCAATGTTGTAAGCGGACTTGGGTCAGAAATCTTCCCAAGCTCGCAAAGAGTTGCAGAGTCAGAACGGAGCTGGAGAGACTTGGGAAAAGATTTATAATGAGTTTTTGGTTACATTTCCTCTTCAAATGCTGATTACAGCTGTGAAGCCCACGATAAATGCGACTTTGGCGTATGTGGCGTACGATAGGCCTTTGGTGCAGGGCAACTTTTTGCGAGAGCCCCACTATAACCTCCACCAACTCGCTGACCAAGAGGCGCATCGCGGGCAGGGTCAATCCGAATTACAAAGCACCAATAGTTCCCATAGCATTTCATGAGTGACACTGTAACTCAAGAACAATATATATATGGCTGTCGTGTTCGCCATGGATTTAAGATTTAATATTAGAGACAAATAAGTTTCCTTAACCATTACATCACTTCAATCCACCTACTCTCGAACAAACATCACAATGCCATCTTATCTGATCACCGGAACATCCCGAGGCCTTGGTGTAAGTCTCACAGATCCAACTTCCCGGCTACAACATTAACAATTCTTTAGTTCGAGTTCGTTCGTCAATTGTCTGCTGACTCAAACAACACCGTCATTGGTTTCGTCCGCAACAAAAAGGCAACTGAAGAGAAGATTCAGCGTGAATTATCTGGACGATCCAACATTCATACCATCCAAGGCGAGATCCAAAACCTTGAGTCGGTAAAGGTATGCAACCAATTTGCCTCTTCACCAAACTTCACGCTGACCACAGGAGCAGAACTTGGTCAAAGAGGTAGCCAAGATCACAGGCGGTAGCCTTGACTATATCATCGCCAACGCTGCTCTTCAATCCGAGTGGTCTGCCCATAACCCCATCGGCGTTCTGTAAGTTCACTCCCGTGCTCTGTACATCTCAGTTGCTTACAGTTCAGGGGCGAGGAGCCTGAGAGACTTGAGGAAGACATGCTCGAGTCCTTCAAGATCAACACTCTTGGAAACATCCACCTGTTCAACCTAGCCCTCCCACTCATCCGCAAGGGCCAAGCTAAGAAAATCATCGCCATCTCGTCGGGCATGGCCGATCCCGAGTTTATTACAAACTTCTCTATCAGTGACGGGGCCCCTTACACCATTAGCAAGGGCGCACTTAATATCGCCGTTGCCAAGTTCGATGCCCAGTATAGGAAGGAGGGTATCTTGTTCATGGCTGTCTCTCCTGGTCTTGTTGCCACCCAGGACACGTCCAACTGTAGGTCTATGGTATCAATGACTCCTTTACTTCAAATGCTGATGAGAAACAGACACGGAAGAGCAGCTTCAGGGAGTTCGTGACATGGTTGCTGCTTTCAAAGGCTACGCGCCTGATTGGGAGGGTGCCATTTCTCCCGAAGAATCTGCCACGGCAGTCCTTTCTGTCATCAACAAGGCCAGTATTGAGGCGGGCAATGGAGGTTCTTTCGTCTCGCACTACGGAAACAAGCAGTGGCTTTAAATCCGGAAACTGGTATCCTGGCAGATACAAATGGCTCAAAAGGGGGTCGTTCAGCTCCGGGTTTCTGGCGAGACTTATCTAGGCTGGGATGTTGCGGGGTGGCACAAACCCGCTATCGATATTCGTGGAAGCTCGCAATCCAACCTGGAAGTGGAAATATATTTAGATGACCTGCAGTAAAGTTGGAAACAGCAATGGGATAAACCGTATTGAGCTGTCTTTTAGTCATCTGCTGCCCTGCAATTAATGCTCTGCCCACTCGCCAGTAGTTATCCGCGTACATCTCAAATATGACAATGAACCGAGTAAAGAGTCGCTAGAGATAAGCGAAAGACCTAGCGACTCAGCAGCCTCGAGTCAGTGCCAAGATGGGATGGTCCAGATTTCCTCTCAGATAGTTAGCAAAGGCCAAGTGGAACCTCGGCCACGTTTGAAGGTCGGACAACTTGATCAATGCGATTAAGAGTGACAAAAGCCCTGGTAAGCCCCCCTGCGGACTAAACACGAGGCGAACCGCAGCCAGAAATCCGCCTGCATTAGTACTTACGGGCCAAGAGCCTCGACAGATGAAAAGGATGAGCTGTCACCTGCAGAGGCAACAAGCCCACACGAAGCTACTGCAGGTTTCAAAGCTTGGTCGCAATCCTGGCGAGATGACTAGATGGGATTCGTTGATCGTGGATAGGGGCTGCAGCACGACGGGAACGCCCACTTTCCGTAATCCGAAGAAGTCTAGGTGTCTCGATGAGAGATAAGTGGCCGCGTTGCACGAAGTCATCGATCAACAATACCATAATCCCAAAGTTGGGTAGTGTTTACAGTCTAACGTGATCTAATTACCTCTATGGTTGGTGAATATACTGATGATACAAATTAATTGAACAATCAATAAATGCCTCAATTTGCCTCAGCACCCAACAATGACATGGGATACTTTTGTCACAGCTATCGAGATCCCCATCATGCAGCCATGGTGCCTAAGCTAATGCGGGTCATTAACAATAGTGTTGCGATCGTGGCTCCAACTACCAGTAGCACCCGGGTTCCCAGGGTCAGTATTGCCCTTGCAAAACAATACACTCCATGAAGAGTTATAAATATCGTATGCAACTTCATGACCTTTATCACTTCAGTCACCTCGACTACGCGTCTGCCGCTCCCAGGCTGCAATAACGAGACTCATGAGTGGGGAATAGCGCAGGGTCGCTGTCTAGCCAGAGTTTAATTCTTGACCTGACAGGGACAGTATGATTCAGACACTAACGCTAGGGAGATGAATCTCCGGGACCGCCCGGTGCACGGTTGACAGGGGGGTAAGACCGCTGAAAGGGTGAAGGAGCGTAGAGTTTAGGACTGGTCACATGAATGTGGCAGCGACATGCTTCTGGTCAGTCTCATATCATAGTTTATGATTTCATGTTTGCTTCCAACAAAACACAACAGTGCAGATAAGCGGATGAGAAAATGATAGAACAACGTCACTAAAAAGTCAAGACCGGGACTTTGTTTTTCGACCTTTATCCCTTGCGCCTATATCAGTCCGCCAAGATGCCCGACAACACCGAGAACCCGAAAGGTCTGAAAAGCCTGCCCTAATTGATACACTTACACTGTTACTGAGAACTATTAGAAGATCCAGAAGATATGAGCATTAAGGCTAATGAGGAGGCTAAAGAATATCTAAGCTACTTGGAGGCTGAAGTCCAGAGACTTAAGTACGAAGAGGAGCGGGATCAGTTGATTTCGGAGCTGGTTGAACGAAATGAGTTTCTGGAAAAGGAGATACAACGGTTGAAGGAACAGATAAAGAACTCGAGCGATGGAAAGGAACAAGAGACTAAGAAATAAGTGGCCTTGATGAATTATAAATCACTTTGTTACATGGAGGTTTTTAACTGTAAGCTCCCGCTGCTACTTTTACGCTTTGCAACATAGGCTGCGCTAAGAGGTTCAAGAGTTGCGGATAACTTCCTTCCTAGGCTGAAATGCAGCTAATCTCCTTAGCACCATTCGGTAGACATGAAAATCTAACCTACAGCACATGGCTGGCTAGCTGGATCAGAAACGTAACCGATGCTCTCCTGATAATAGCAGCATGACTTGAGACTTCAAGCACGGTTTCTCAGCGCTCGAAGAATGCTGGGATCTAAAGAGGCCGCGCAGTCCACGATTATGCAACCTTAACTCAGAATGTCGAATCCTCCAACATCCACGAGCAGGATGATTATCGTTTACTCTATTCTGAGTTTAGACATGGAGATTTAGAGTTTACTGTGAAGCGCACCTATGACAGATACCACGTCTAGGTGGTGTCAAAACGCGTCTGACGTGAGGGATCGGATATTGTAGGGCGAATGTTAATTCCCACGTCACACGTATCTTAACATCTAAGGCACCCCTCAAGCAGGACGGTCGATCAAGAAGAGCATGTTTCTGTATTGGCCCGGTATTCAAAACCATGTCATCTCTTAGTTCGATAATCGAACCTTGGATGATTTTGTACGCGAAGGCTCGGAGCGACGTCTCCGGAGAATAGAATACTTCTGACAGGAGGACCCGCTAGCACCATACTTTCACGTCAGGCGTTCTTTGACGCCCTGGGCCCCCTAAACCAAATTAGAATACGAGATGTGCTGTCTGAAGAGCAGCGCCACGCCATAGCGTCGCGCGTATAGTCATTGGTGTGGATGGAGGTCTGAGCACTGAACTCCACAAAATGGATTATTGAACTGTTGTGCCTGGCTACGGCCTGGAGCCAACGAAGCCACTTCTCAAAGAGATTGCTAACTTCACAGAAGCCCTAATCTTGGACTCAGGCATACAAATGATTAGCTGTGCAGAAAGGGACATTGATGGTATGATCAGTGGATATCAGACATGACCGTAAGTAACGCCCAATGGTGAGATTGCCTCCTGTACTCATAGAGCGGGTGAAGAGTCTAGGATACCCTCTTGACATTGACTCTTCCTAAATTCGAGTATGGAAGTTGCTGCACTCCATACGCATCTGCGTTCATAACCATTTATCTTGCCTCCAGAAGTACGTCGGAACGATTCAAAATCCTACCTCCCACCGAGAGCAGAACGATCATATTCACAGGACTGAACTCGTCTCGGTCGCCTTCGGCATCTTGATCAAGGTTGATGCTTTCTTGCCAGCCGTTCGAAAGCTACAAAAGAGCCAGGCCTGTCGCAATCCTACCAGCATCGAGTTCCCCGATCCTCTCGAGAATGAAAGCGAAACATGATCCTTCTCCTCCATCACAGCTGTTGATATGTCGCAAAAAGAACCTGGTAGTCCCTCGACGACAAGTTCAACAGATGTTAACATGTTGCCCAACACGCTGCTACCCGCGTCAAGCTTGACCGGAACGCAAAACGTCGACCCCGACCGAAAAGACACAAGAGAACCATCGGAACCCGGGATAATATCCAGGTCTGGTGTGCAACCGGAGCGAGAACTGGTGCACTAAGGTGATGAGATGTAGCTCCAGGCCTTGCAAGACCGGGCCTCTGTCACAGGTCCATCGTTGATCAGCAGAGCGCAAGTTACCCAGTGTTCCCTACAGGCTCTCGTAAGTAACCTTGCAGAGTGTGAGCTCACAACTATTCGAGAACAATTCGTCTCGGCATTCTTCCGAACATGGGAACTCCTCTGTACAGTAAAGGAACTACTATCTGCCTCGATTAAGAGGTTCGAAGCTGCTTAGTACTCTGAAGCATCTAGGAGACGAATGATACAGATTCAGGGTTGTTGAGCTATTAGGGCTTTATTTTTAAACCATTCATAACTTATTTAAAGCTTTCATTGAACTAAAAGCCTAGCCCTAATTATTATCAAGTCTTTAATTAACTTTACTACTAAATGCTATTACCCTATTTAACCTTTTTATTCTTATAACTCTTTAAATAGTATAACTATCTTATTTAATAACTTATCCTATATAAGAATAATTTATCCTTTCTTATAGGTTTATTATTTTATATTTTCTTTATATATTTTCTATAACGTACACGATAAGCATGCCGATCAGACAAGCATGCCGATCAAAAATCTCAACCTTCTTTAAATAAATCGCAATAAAAGCACCATAAACCATCTAATTAATTGATTCTAGTTACTATACTCATCTCCAGAGGCCTCAATTCCCTCCTGACAGGTTCTTGCATTATGTCCGGTCTTACCGCAATTTCC